CAGAATATGGAAGCTATGAATGCCAACCTAAGGAATTTACACTTTCTCAAGAGTTCAATGGAAGCCACCGAAAATATTTCAGCTGGAAAATGAAAGCCGGACCTTGTTCTCATTCTTGTGGCAGTGATGTGAGGAGTGGCTTAAAGTGGGAGAAGATGAGGAGGGGGATGTGAGGTAATGGTTTTTTACTAGAGTGATGGCCACGAATATGTTGAGAAGTTGATGCAACTAACTTTCAAAGTAGATCGACAAAACCCAGTGAGAGGCAAGATATAAAGAATGGGAGAGTCAAACTGGTAACCCCTAAAGTTTACAGTTAGGGAATCCCTGGCTAGAATGGGAAAAGGCAGCCTAAGAAAACGCTTACTACAGGAGACAAAACCAAAACTGGAACTCTGATCTCAATTCCCCATCCAATTCTCTTTCTACTATAGCTACTGCCTAGTTTGGAACATAAAAACTGGTTTGAAAGACCACACGTCTCAAAAGACAACTTCATATGGCATAATAAAACTTCAGTTAAATTAATTAAAATTTTTTTTATTAGACCATGGTTATAATTCTACCTTTGTGCTAACTAGCTGTGATCTTGGGAAAATCATTTGCCTTTGACACCTTTTACACTTTTCTTTCAATTTATTTCTCATTAATATGCACAGATGTATTTCTTGTCTCTCATAGTAAGTAATTTCTTTGATGTGGATAATAATATATAGATCTTTTACCATTGTTTCTAATACCCAAGACGTCTCTCTGTAAAATAGTGTCAAATTAATGAATATAAATAGTGAGAATCACCTGCTAGAAATAAAGTGTGAGTAAAAGCCCAAACAGAACCTGAACTATTTAAATGAGCTTAGGCTAGCAGGGAAGCATCCCTACCTTTAATTTGGCCTCTAACGACTGAGAACATTGTCTGACATTCGTAAGGGCCTGAGAGCCACAGCCACATGGCACTTTGTTATGAGAAGAAAATGCCTTTCCACTGAACCTTTTCCCAGGCTCTTCTTCATCCTTCCTCTCAAAGGTCCCAGAGAGCACAAGGAAGGACAAAGGGGAAACCTGTCGATTTTTTAAAGTATGGCATGGTCTGTTTTCTGTAATAGGTAATGCTGCACGTTACCCATTTATTTTTCAGGTTTCTTTAACCTCTTGTGATTGATAGACCAGTATTCAGATCTTACTTCTGGGCAAACTACTTACGGCACTATGGGCAGGCAAAAGCGCCAGAGGAAGGCTTAGGGACTCGCAGTATTCTCCCTTTAACAGCACTCAGCTTCAGTATAACCTGGAAGCACACCCCCTTTCTGGGCATCCTTAGGTTACTAGCTCCAGCACAGGTGGCTAGGAGAGCTAAGCCGGCAGAAGAAAAGCAAAACTGAGGAAGGAAGAGAGGAGAGGTCATAAGGACAAGTGAATATAGTCTTTGACTAATAAACACTGAGATGGCTTTTACGTGTGACTTGCCAAATGTCTTTGGAGGCAGTTTCAAAAACGTTCTAATACTAGTGTCACACAGAGTGCATGGCTTCCCAAGAGCACCTTTTAAAGCATAATAATCACTGGAGTAAAATATGGCTTAAAAATTTAATTTTTAAACTAAATACAGAAATCACTGCTTAAGTGGTAATTATAATCCACAAATATAAGGAAATCTGGAGAATGTATGGTGGGTTAGAAACACTTTACATTTTATAATCTAAGGACTAAATTCAGCACTACGTACTTCTGCATTGGCCAATGTTAAAAACTTTGAGGAAAGAAGTTTTTTAAAAAGTGCAAATGAATGGCACGTGTAATTTTGAAGTAATCCTGCGTTACAGAACATATGGGTGTTTGGGTGAACCAGATTGAGGACCCACCTCAATTTTATACACAGAAATAGCATACTATGAGAGTAAGAGTTTTTGTAGTTCAACAGACCTACTTAACATCCTAGCTTCATTTGTTCGTAGTTGAATAACTCCCTGCAAATTGTTTAACTTCCCTGAGACTCAGTTTCCTTACCTGTACAATGCCTAGTGACGTGCCTGGCAAGCAGATGCTATTCAATGAGTATCAGTTCTTCTGTACGCATGGGGGTGTTTTGTTTCAAACTAAGGTAGATTAGGAAATCACTTGAGTATGTTGCAGCCAGCATATTTTAGAAACTAAAACATTAAAAACCGTCAGAGTGAGCTGCATATTAAAAGAATAATTCCATTATATATATGCTGTTTTTATATAAGTGCATTTTTTATTGTGGGTTACAATAAAAAAAAAATTCAGTCTCTGCTCTCCAAAGAAATTTAGTTTATTTTATCAAAAAAAGTCTTTAGGAGTGCTACCACTATGCCTCTATAAACTTGAAGAACTTAATGAAAGTGTTTAAAGCGTTCCTTACTTTTTACTTGTTGCAGTAAAAATAAGACATGAATCACAGAGAAGGTGAATTTGATCTGATACTATTGGCATTAAATTACATTTTAAGATTAGTTTCTTTGTCATATTGACTAATATATATTCTAAACACTATAGTTTACAGGTATATCATTGACAATTGATTAAACACTTATACAAAAAGTTGGCTATTAAGATCTATTATTGGAAAATTAGATACAAGTTCTAAATAACTTTAAATAAAACTTTCTTTAAAGGACTATAACGTTGCCTAATCATGAAGACTTTTAGAGTAATAGTCCAATCCTGATAACTAAAAATCAAAGGCCTGTATGAGCACACACACTGATGTCTCACACTGGCTCAATAAAAATGAGAGCCCATACCAAAATGTGAGCTTTAATTATGGACCTCTCCTTCAGGTCCTGCTATAAAACCAGCCCGACAGTGTAATAACTCTCTGGTTGTGTTAAGGTCATGGGCTTCAAAGCATGGAGTGGGAATAATATGCCGTGATGAAGACTGGGCATTGTTGAAGGGGATAATAAAAATTATAGAATTTAATGATACAGCTGAATCTTGATGTAACTATCTTAAATTTGTAATCTTAGCTGATCAGGCTAGACTGACCATTATTAGTATCACATGTGGAACTGAAGGTTAGGAATCTTATTGTAGACAGGCACACCAAGTAATTCTGATCCTCATTCTGGTTTGAATGACTTGTGTTAAAGGGACATAGATCAGAAAATTTAAAGAGTGGATCTGAAAAGTAATTATCCTAGCCTTACAGGTATCAATATCAAATACTGGATCAGAATCTGACACTTATTCAAAGTATTATATTAAAGTAACAAGTCAACAGGCAGCAATATAGTACTTGATACTGTATTGTTATTTAAAGACAATAAGAAATGGTGCTTCCTCTCTTTGGAATTTACTGGTGAGAAGAGTCAAAAAGTATGAAAGAGAAAGTCTCTTTAGAGACAGAAATAAAAGGTAGCAATCAATAAAAGTTGTTAAGAGTAAGATCAGCAAGAGAGAAAAGATAAACCATTCCACTGCTGATAACTGGCTCCTGAGCAGAGAAAGCTCAGATCTTTTGTGGTGTTGATACCCTTTCTTCTGTCCTCAGAAAAAGAGTACAGAGATAAGGAGCAATGGGTCAGACTGTTGGACCTCAAAGGGAGGGCGGGGATAAAAAGGAGAGATCAACCAAAGGACTTATGTGCACACATATGAGCCTAACCAGTGGTCAAGGACAATAGGGGGGGCTGGGGCATGAGTGGGGAGGGTTGGGGGTTTGGGATGGGGGTTGAGGACAAATATGTGATACCTTAATCAATAAAGAAATTTTAAAAAGGGGGTTTTATATTAAGGGGGGGGGGAGAAAAAGAAAAAAAGAGTAAGGCAAAAGGTGGTTCTTTGCTATTTCAAATGAGTTGGTGGAACAGAATGAGGCTGCCTGTAACCTTAAATTCCTTCTTTCTAAATTTAAAACCTTTTTGCTCTTTGATATAGACACTGGATTGAGCTGGGCCAAGCTAGCTGTCAATGTCAAGTGTTGGAATTAGCACCACAAATTCATCAGGACTGAGTGTTGGCACCAGGCTTTGTCCATCAACATGAATATGAGAAAAGGCAAGCAGAATGCCACTCTTGAGAAGAAATAGCAGCTGTGAAAGTGAAGGAAAGCACAGGAGAGAGGAAAGCCTGGGGAAAAGGATGGTAGTAAGAGATATGAGGTAGAAAGCTAGTTTTGAAAAGACACAGAGTTAGAAACACCCTCTGTGGCAGGTACATCAGCCACTTGGGATTGGAAAATGCTCCAGGAAATGATCTGGCATATTCCCTGCCTGCTTATTTTTTAGCTCAAATTCTAACCATGTTTGAAATATTTGGAGATCTCTTCCTTCCTGCCTCCCTCCCTCTCTTATCTAGAGATTATAGGAAAGGATGAATAAAATGGGAGACAATTTTTAAAAAGCAGATTAGGACTGGTTGGTGTGGCTCAGTGTTTGAGTGTCAACCTATGAACCAGGAGGTCACGGTTCTATTCCTGGTCAGGGCACATGCCTGGGTTATGGGCTTGATCCCCAGTGTGGGGCATGTAGGAAATAGCCGATCAATGAATCTCTTTCTTCATTGATGCTACTATATCTCCTTCTCCCTTTGACTCTGAATTCAATAAAAAACATATTTTTAAAAAGCAAATTATGAGGAAAGCCCTCGTTCTACATGGGTAGAATTCACCCCACAAGTCTAAGAACTTTCGAAAAGTGCAAGGGAAGGGAGGCAGAGGGCACTACTGCGAAGAGACAAACTGACAAACAGCTGAGAGCTGGCTTAATAACACCGTCTCCTCCCACCTGAGATTTCTGTCTTTATTTAAAGAGAGACAAAGGGAAGAGCTCCGAGAACCAGTACCACAGATTAAGATGTTTGAAAGAGAAGTTGGGCCTTTCTTTTCACTGTTAGTTTCCTTCATCAGAAAATATAGTGGACCTATAGGAAACTGCAATCGTTTCATCCAATGACTCCAAGTACTTCACCTGTGCCCTTGCCAGATCTGGATTTCCTATTTGATAAGAAAGGTTCCTGAACTCCCATTCTTTCCTTTACTAATAGACCTAAAAAATCTCCTACATTTAGAAGATAAAAAAAAACACATATTTATAATATGCTTAGTCTTGGGATCTCCAAATCAGGGTTAGGAAAGGAATTATTCTTTCATAACCCAACATGTCCACACATCACATGTCCTTATCAAAGTTATGGGTTCAGTTTTCACACTTCGAGGAAGAAAATCTGCTCCCTGGCAGTCTTCAAATTACCTGACAAATATTATACAGCCTCAGCCCAGGCCCCTCAATTCCATTAACATCCCAGCAAACAAAAAAATATATCCACTTATCACAGTCCAATCCCACTTGAGCATCTACAGCCACTGTCCTATATAATAAAAGGCTAATATGCAAATCGACCAAACTGTGGAACAACCAGTCGCTATGATGCACACTGACCACCAGGCGGCACACACTCAACGCAGGAGTTGCCCCCTTTGGTCAGTGTGCTCCCACAGGGGGAGTGCTGCTCAGCCAGAAGCCTTGAGCCAGGCTCACGGCTGGTGAGCACAGTGGTGGTGACGGGAGCCTCTTCCGCCCCTGTGGTAGCACTAAGGATGTCTGACTGATGGCAGGGACCAGGCCTAAGCCATCAGTTGGACATCCCCCAAGGGTTCCTGGACTGGGTGAGGGCACAGGCCAGACTGAGGGACCTCCCCTCCAAGTGCACAAATTTTGTGCACCGAGCCTCTGGCTTGATATAATCATGTTCCAAAAGCTGAGTGTCCAACAGCAACAAAGGTCCATTCGTTGGAGCCAATAATACTGAAGTTTGGTTTTTAACTGCATTTTTTGTCAGTTTGGCTGGGAAGATCTGGACAGCTGGAAATGAGCTTCTCAGTCATTTTCTGTTTTCTTCTTTGTATCAATTTTCCACCTGTGAAGCCCAACACCCCACCACCAAGTGCAGCTGCAATTCCTGCCACTTTGAAGCCTGCAAGGAGGCCAATCGGACCCCCTACGGCTCCTCCGAGGAGTGCACCTGCCACAGGCAGCATTGCCAGCTTGTATTTTGCAGCCTGTAAAAAAAAAAAAATTCAATTTAGAAATTGAGTTGAGAATATCTGCCTGTGGTGATGTGCATTTTCCTCTCATTACTCCTGCCAATGCCTCTTTAACTCTTGGTACATAATTAACCTTAGAGATTGTATTAGAGGGAAGGGGTAGAAAAAGTATTCCACAGGTACTACAATTGCTCCAGACCTCAGAATTTAGAGAAACAGGCTACACAGAGTGGACTGCTACAAATTGAATTTACTTGCAAAGCAATCAAACCACTAACTACCTCACTGGCTTATTTAAACATATAGTGTGGCCTATTCTCTCTGTGAAAAAAAATTTCTCTTCTAACAGAATGAAAGAGTAGAATATTACTACAGCCATTGATTTCTTGCACTACCTATGTGTCATTTCTTCCTTATTTCCTTAATTGCTGGTTCCCTCAAGATTAAAGAGAGTAGATCAATTGGGTTAATACTACAAATTCCTGGGAGCCAGAGTAACATTGATTTGTCAGCAGGAGCAGGATCTTACCTTCCCCAAGTTTCTGGTTCCCTCTTCAACATTCACAGCAGCACTGTTGACATGGTCCTCAATGCTGTCAATCTTCTCCTGCTGAGACTAGATGCAAAGGAATTATGAGTGAGCATTCCTGCTGGGGAGCAGCAGAGAGCCAATACACACTATTTTAATTCCTGTAATCAGGGCCCTGTGTACTGCATCCTGGCAGTCTTAATAGTGGTTCATTAATAGCATCTGATAAACTATGTCCAAAGTACAAATTCACTTGTGTGAAAAAAAAGAGGATGACTTACTTATTAGGTAATGAAAGGCTGGCACCTTTATAAGAAAAAGCATCTCACACTAAAATCATTCAAGCATACAAACATTCTCCAAATGAATCTATTTTCCAGGAGAAAAGAAAATCAAATAAGCACATGAGTTTGACAGGAAAAAAACAAAAACAAAATCAAACAAAACCCTCCCTAGCTTATCTCTTTAAAAATTCAGTTTAAAAACAGGCAAATAGGAGTAAAACTCCCTTGTCCCAATAAATACAAATTATTATGTTTTAGAAATAAGAATACAGTATGGTTTGATCTGCCATGAAATCTTTCTAATTCTGATCCGATAAGCAGTAAGGAGCAGAGAATGAATTTACTGTCCTATGTTTTATATTGTACCTTTATAATCTAATACATTTCAAAATCATGACAAGCTAAAATGTTTCTGATCAACTATATTAATAAATCATTCTACATAAAAGGACAGCACCTGCACTGACACAACAGAAATTGTGGCTCACGGAATCTCTGGGTAGAAGGGATGCTTAGATCATTGAGTGGGCTTTTTCCCTAAGATGTGTAAAACCCAATTACAACACTTCTGACAAGTGGTTACCGAACCTCTGCTCAGACAATAAAACTTCTTTAATGCTAGCTCCCCTCCCCCAACAACCCATAGAAGCATAAATGCCAGTTTAGACCCCTACCCTTGTTTCTCTTTAGGACAACCTCACATTTTCCATTCTTGCTTGAAAGTCTATGCTAGAATATAAATCACAGATGTAAAGTTCTATCATCTACCTCCATATCCTGATGAGTTGAAAATAGTCAGCATGTCCCCTTTTTCTCAGAACCCAAAAGAATTCCATCAAGATGGTAGAACCTGCCTGAGCCAACCACTGTGGCTCAATGGTTGAACATAGATCCATGAACCAGTAGATCATGCTTCGTTCCCAGCCAGGACACATGCCTAGGTTGGGGGCTCAATCCCCAGTAGGGGGCATGCAAGAGGCAGCCAATGGATGATTCTCATCACTGATATTTCTTTCTCTCCATCTCTCTTCCTCTCTCTGAAATTAATTTAAAAAAATATATATATTTATATATATATTATATATATATATATTTAAAAAAATATATATATATATATCTTATTGAATTTCTACAGAGAGGAAGGGAAAGAGATAGAGAGCTAGAAATGTCGATGAGAGAGAATCATCGACCAGCTGCATCCTGCACGCCCCCTACCAGGGATGTGCCCGCAACCAATGTACATGCCATTGACTGGAATCAAACCCGGGACCTTTCAGTCCGCAGGCCGACGCTCTATCCACTGAGCCAAACCGGTTTCGGCTAAAAATACATATATTTTTTAAAAGATGGCAGAACCTAGCAGAATTACTATCATTTCTAATACCTCAAGTGTTATATCAAGACCTTAGGGAAATATCTTTTAATGCTCCTTCCTAAAAGGTTGGATATTGAAGCTCTATGGCCTTTTTTTTTTTTTAAATAAAGTAAAATTCTAAAATAATTTTCTTTAAATTTTTCCCCCCCCCCACAAAAATACTTTGGAATAATTGGAGAAGGGATCTCAAGACAAAACAAAGCCTGAGATGACTGATTATTTGAACTGTAAGGCTCACTATCACTGCAATCACCAGTACTAAATGAGGCCTATATCACCTGGGGAGTAGACCACACCTCTAAGTACTTATTCACTGACATAAGGAAGCTTGCTTAAATATGGGCATGGAAATGAGGCAGAGAGCAGACCACCCCCTATCCTGGGATCAGTAGTCATTCCTCAGTTATATAGATCTGCCTTCTTCTTCCTCTATTTTGCTTGATTTGAATCCCAAACTTTGCCCATATCTTTAAACTCAGCTTCTTGGGTAAGGACTCAAAATGACAGAAAATTCAATTTAGGCAACTGGTGTCAAAGTGTTAATCACTGTCCACAGCATGACCAGCCAGACTCGGAGCCAAATTTGATCACTACCTGTCCATTGTGTATGTTGGGCAAAATCACACATACACAACCTTATATCAGTACAGAAACCCAAGCTCTTAACAACAACAGTGGCTCAGGAGCCTCCTCACCTATATCTACTAACCTCCTATATCTACTAATCTGCCTGTAGTGCCCACATTTGATAATCTTCAAACTCTTCCTGACATTATATACGTTGGTGGCTTGTGTATGTTCTCAGCATTCCTTTAACAATAAATTAAATCACTTATGAGAATAACTGTAGTGTTTCTAGAGTAATACACGGACATTTTCCTTTAAAAAAATTCAAAAGACTAAGAATATGTTTATGGATTTCATTTTAAGAAACATTGAGTTAGGTCCACATCTGCCTAGAAAAATAACAGAATCATAATCAGCAGTGAAGAAGAATGCAATTTGCACATTTGAAGTTAAATTTCAATACTAATAAAGAATTGTTTTTCTCTCTTTTAAAAAATATATTTGTGATTTTTAAAAAGAGAGGAAGGGAGAGGGAGAGAGAGAAACATCTATGTGGGAGGAAACATCCATTGGATACGTACAGTTGTGGTAGTAGAAGGGAAGGGGTGAGAAGTAATAGGCATTATTTAATTTACTCTTCCCATCAATTTACAAAGCTCATTATTGTCAAATAACATCCTGATGGTCACATAGGTAATAAATGGAGGAATATGATCTAATCCATAATACAGATTTTATACATCCAGAATAAAACTGGATTTAAAAATCCATAGTGGATAAGGCAAAATGTAGAGACAAAACTGGACCTATAGCTAGAGTGACCTGCTATTAAGCAACTGGGCCAGCATTTTTAAAATGCTGGGCACAATTTAACCATTTTTAAAAATATATATTTTATTGATTTTTTACAGAGAGGAAGAGAGAGGGACAGAGAGCCTGAAACATTGATGAGAGAGAATCAGCTGCCTCCTGCACACCCCCTACGGGGGATGTGCCCACAACCAAGGCACATGCCCTTGATTGGAATCAAACCCAGGACCTCCCATTCCGCAGGCCAACTCTCTATCCACTGAGCCAAACTGGTTTCAGCATAATTTAACCATTTTTAAGTATACGATTCAGTGGAATTAAGTACATTCACAATGTTGAGTAATTGTCATGATTATTCTATAGGTTCTTTTTTATATTATTCTCTATTCTTAGCTCAGTACAATGAACACAGAAAGTGCTCCATAAATAAATGGTTAACTTGCTTAGATACTATCATGTCCATGTGATGATAATGAGAGGATGTGGTCACTCTGATTATGTTCCCAAGTCATTTGTTGACTTAATGGAGCTTCTGTGAGTCCTTGACCATGTGGTCATGAGAACTCAGTCACCCTGGGAATAGTAATCAGGGTTTCTCCTTTGAGCTACAGCCTAATAACAATCTGTCCTTACACAGATTATTATAAATAGGACATTTGTATAGAGCTATGGCTATAGTCTAACTTTCCCTGCACAAACCTTCCTTAGATTAGGGATTAGGAACTGCTTAATAACCTAATAGTACTAATATATATAATAGTTAAATGGCCTAAAACCCTTCCTTTTCCTTTCATGTGTTGATCTCATTAGAAGGGAAATGTGTTTGTCTTGAATGAGAACTTTTTAAGATGTTTAATTTGTTTTTTAAATAAATTTTAAGTATAATCTACGTACATTAAACCTCATACATCTCATGTGTACATACCAATGACTTTTGACAAATGTATATATCTTTATAACCTGTCATACAGATCTTACAAGGTACATTAGATCAGAGATTATGCATTATAATTAAATAAATATTGATTCTAAAAACAACAAATATTTTGGGATTCTTGTATCATTCTTTTTTATATATAAATATGTTAATAGCTTGTACAGATATCTAATCCAGAAACTTTATTTTGCTTCTTCTGCACTTAGAGATATCAAAAAAAGGAAAATGCTTTAAAGATTTTGCTATATTTGCCATAGCTGGTTGCTCAGTGGTTATATTATATCATTTGCCTGCAAATTGAAGAGTTGTAGTTTCAATTCAAGGGCACATATCTCAGTTGTGGGCTCGACCCTCAGCCCCTATTGGGGTATCTGCCAAAGGCAACCAATCGATGTGTGAATCTCACACTGGTGTTTGTCTCTGTCTCTATTCCTCCCTTCCATTCGCTCTAAAAATCAATTAAAAAAATATCCTTGGGTGAGGATTAACCAAAAAAAAAAAAAAAAATGTTAAACAATATTCAATTTAAGCATTATATTTCAAGAAAAAAAATCCACATGTTAGAAAACAAGAAGAGAAAGGGTCTAGTACTGGTAAGCCTAGAAATTATATTTTAGTAATACATTAGAGAATCAAGGGTTTTTAAGAGAAGAAAACATGGTGAGGTGGGATAGTGTGAGGAAAGAGAAGGTGGTGCAGAGTTTACTTTACATGAGAAGAACTTCTAAGAGCCTCCAAATGGGATGGTTGAAGTATGATGTGTTCCTGCCTTGTAATTGTTCAAAAAGAGGCGAAAGACCATCTATTTGAGAAGTTGGGGCAAGAGTAGATTAGTTGACCTTTTATGTCCTTTTCAATTCCAATTCTGAGATTAGTTAATCTAGGAACCTCTTATAATTTAAAGCCAGGTGTCAAGGAAATCATAACTCAAAAATGTACAACCCAAATCATAGTTTGATCAAGAACGAAGAACTAAACCTAGCCAGAAGCATCAGCAGAAACAGGGTTGCTCCTGCAGGTACATCCATACATACACACACACATAACTCATACATCCAACCTTCCCACACACAATTCCTGGGAAGAAAAAGGAATTTAGAAAAATAGTAACCAAATCTATTCTATTTTCTCCACTAAATTTACTTTATGTTCTCTAATCTATGTTAACAGTTTCACTGGCTTCCTGATTAGGCAGAATAAAGCCTTAATGTTTCTTATCTTTGACTTTTCCATCTTCCTCTAATTTCTATCCCAGTTGTCCTTTATCCATGGGAAATATGTTGCAAGACCTACAGTAGATGCCTGAAACTACAGATAGTATTGAACCCTATATATACTGTTTTTTCCTACATACACACACATACTTCACAGCTTTGCTTTGGTATATACAAATTGCCAGCATCACTACTCTTGCACTTGGGGGTCATTATTAAGTAAAACAAGGGTTACTGGAACACAGGCATTGTCCTACCATGACATTCTAGCTGATAAGCCAAGATACTATTAAGTGACTAAGGGCAGGGAGCATATACAACATGGATACTATGGACAAAGGGATGTTTCATGTCTTGAGCTAAGACAGCGTAGGACAGTGCCAGATTTCATCATGCTACCCAGAACGATGTACAAAACTTATTATTTCTGGAATTTTCCATTTAACATTTTCAGACCACGGTAGACCACAGTAACTAAAACCATGGAAAGCAAAATTGTAGAAAGCAAAACCACAGGTAAGGGGTGTGGGGGAGTACTATACTTGCTTTGCCATTGCTCTTGGTGAAACTCTTGCGATTGTTTTCTAACCAGTCATCCTGCCTGGTTATATCCCCTCTCCAAGGCCATTCCTCACACTGTGGTCTTTCTGAAGCACAGATGGGATGGATCACAGCACTCTACCTGTTCAAAAATCTATACTGGCTCCTACATAGTAAAGTTCAAATTATTTGGTATGGCTTTCAATGCCATCTGAATCTCACCCTAACCATTCTTGCTTTGCTTGCCCATGGTACCTTATGTTTAGATTATACTGCAATACTTGTCACTCCTAAATTATACTGTACTCCATGTCTTTGTTCAGCTATTTTCAAATGTGCCTCTCACTCCACCTGTGGACACTTTCCTCTATTTTCAAGGCTCAAGCAAAGGCTACCTATCTTGTGAAGCTATCCTTAATGCTTCCACCTCACAAGCCCTTCCTCCCTCAAATGTTGCTTCTTAGAGCTTATATTACTTCTTGTCATATATTTTTGCATTTAACAATCATGCTTGAAATTTCAAGTTTGGAGATCCAAGCATATCTCTACCCACTGTAAATCCTTAAAGGCAGAGAACAAGCTTCATTTATTTCTATAGCCAACCTTATCAGACCCACAATGCCAAGGATATAATACAGTACCTTCTATGGCTCCATAAAAGTACTTAATAAATGTTTATTGAACTTATCTGGAATTTGACAACAATTAGACTCCTATCCATGACATAATAGCAGTCTTAAAAATTATAACTTCTATTAAAATTCTAGTCAAAGGTCTAATGACTGATAAAAGCCTTTTAGCTATTAATCTAACATCTCTGAACCAAAAATTGTCATATACTTACATTCACTAGGAGAGAGAATTCTGTGACCAGGTGGCTAAGTTCAATTAGGTCCTTAAAAGAAGAAAGAGAGAGGGGAGGTTATTTACTTTTATGCCTCACAGTTACAAAAAAATAATAAAGTAAAAAAATTAACATACCGCTTCTAAGGTTTCCCATGATTCTGCAGCATTTTGATCTCGAGGAATTTCAGGCAATGCATATATCTGAGTCATACTCTGAGAATCAGCTTCAGCTTCAGTAGTGTGAAATGCTCCTGGATAAACATAGCCTCATGTTTAGTGTTTATCTGCTTTGCTAAAAAGGCAACAACATTAATCGACTCCAAAAACAATTGTCATGTAAAATGCTTAATAATTAAATTCAGGCTGAAAGCAAATTGATTATTCTATAAAAACAGATTTATCTATAGGCAGATTGTTCCCAGGTTAACAAATATTTTTTTTATTTATTCTACAAAGTCATCTTAAAATAAAAAAATGCTATAACTACTATCTACCACTCTGAATAACTAGGGCTAGATGTGAAAGCACCTCCAAAGGAAAACTATTCTATTTGGCCAATGTTCCATGAAAAGATATCCAGATTTAACATTTTCATTGCTAAATTATTAACCTTTTTCTTTGGTTATTTTAATAATCAACATCAGATCCTTAAGCTGTTAGAAGTAGAGAAGTGATGTGTTTTTAGCAATGAAATCAGTCATTTTTGGTAACAAATTTGTCATAAAAACTAACACCTATTACTAAATGTATATTTTTGTATTTATTAATACCCTATTTCTCTTCAGAGTCATTTTCTGACCCATCCCTCCATTGCTTCTAATTCTTTTCTGAGTTTTAAGAAGTCATCAACACACTATGGTTTTCCTCATTAAACACTGTTATGATGATGAATTAATTTACATTCCAAACTCCATCTTCAAATCTTTATTTCCCTGTATTAGTTTTACCAATTGTTCATTCATTAAACATATATTTATACAATGCCTACTATATTACCAATCAGCGTGATAAGATGCTGGGTACACAATGGTAAACCATAAAATAGTTCCAAGGAGTCAATATAGTATGCTGGTTAAGGGTATAGGCCTCATCAGAAAGACCTGGGTAAGTATCCTTGTTTGGCTATTCACTAGCTCTTTTACTTGGGAAGGTATTTCATCTTTTAAACTTATTTTCCTAGTTTATAAAATAAGATGATACTTTGCATGGTGCCTGGCTTACATATCAAGTATAAGTGGTTAGCAGTTACTATATTACTGCCATTGCTGCTGCTACTATTATTAATGGAGCTTATCATATATGTGATAAAGACATGTTAACAGGCAAACTCAGTATAGTCTCATAAGAACTGTGATATGGGTAAGTATTGAATGCTATATGAGCACAGAGTTAGTTAACTAGATCTGTGGAGAAGAGAGTTGTCCAAGAAAGTTCTGGAGCTAAAGCCTGAGGATGAACAGAAATTCTATAACTGAACTGGGGCAAGAGTGAAGGCAGAAACAGAGTATTCAGGTCAAAGAGAATAATATGTGCATAGGTTTGGGGACTGAAAGGAGTTCAGTATAGCTGAAGCATATTCTATGACAAAAGAAAAGAAAAGGTTGAGGTTGGAAATCAAGAGTGACATTACTCGTGGCATTGTAAATTATGTTCAAGAGTTTTGTCCTCATAAGATCAATATAAAACTATTAAAAGGATCAGAAGACTATTGGTAAGATGCAAGGTGTCATATCAGATTTCAGATTTAGAAAGGGTATAGCTGTGGTATAAATAATAGATTAAGGACGGATTTGAAAGGTAAAAAAAATTAGAAAGTGAAACACAAGTTGGAAGGCTTTTCAATATATCTGATGTAAAACGATGATGATCTAATCTGGGATTGTGGCAGTGGAAATGTAAAGAAGAAATCTGAAAGTCTTCTTTCCTTTTATTCTCCATACTTCAAGCTTAAAACAATACCTACCACTTTAATATTTTCTGAGCACTCATGTATTGTGTTGGGTACTAGGGATAAAAAAGTAATACAAAATAGTTGCTCTCAAGGAAAGTATATTCTAGAAAAGTTAGACATAAAAAGAAACAATTCTAAAAATAGTAAGAGTTCATGAATATCTAAGTAAATAGATACAGATACACATAGGCTGTGTGGGTGTTCCAGGCTGGGGTGGCATGTGACCCAGCTAGCGTGGTGTACAGTGTATGGGACAGCTTCCTAAAAAAAATGATCTTACTAACCAAAGAAGATAATATAAATGTAGGTAGAGAAGCTAGCATGAAAAAGGCCTCAAAGAGGAAATAATATAGTTTAACATAAAATCAGCAATTTAGTCTTGCCAAAGCATAAAGTAAAAGCCATAAAGTTACAAGAATAAGATATTATAGATGGTTTTAAGGGGCCTTATAATCCAGTTAAAGACTTTGGACTATCTGATACACAATGGAGAGCTACTGAAGGGTTGTAAGCAGGGAGATGATAGTAACATATGACACCTGATCTAATCCTAAAAGTATAATTATTATAACACTAAGTCCAACTTCTCTCTCAATTTCTTTTTCCATTCTAGCCTATGACAATGGTATTTTATACAATAGCATTACTAATTTACTTTCATAATTCAGGAAAGCTTTACACACACACACCGATTTAAATTGTTTAGGAAGGGCAGAAACATCAATGTGAGAGAGACACATAGATTGGTTGCCTCCCACAGGTGCCCTGGGATTGTACCTGCAACCAAGGTACATGCCCTCATCCGGAATGGAACCCAGGACCCTTCAGTATTAGCTAACACTCTCTCTAGGGTTGATGATATTCTTTTATTTTTATTATAAGAATATATATATATTTAGCCGAAACCGGTTTGGCTCAGTGGTAGAGCGTCGGTCTGCAGACTGAAAGGTCCCAGGTTCGATTCCAGTCAAGGGCATGTACATTGGTTGCGGGCACATCCCCGGTAGGGGGTGTGAAAGAGGCAGCTAGTCGATGTTTCTCTCTCATCGGCGTTTCTAGCTCTCTATCCCTCTCTCCTCCTCTCTTTAAAAAAATCAATAATATATACATTTAGAGGGAAAGGGAGAGGGAGAGCGATATCTCTCATCATCTCAACATCAATGATGAGAGATAATCATTGATCAGCAGCCTCCTGCACGCCCCCTACTGGGGATCAAGCCTGTACCCAGGCATATGCCCTTGACGGGAATTGAATCTGGGACCCTTTAGTCCACAGGCCGATGCTCTATCCCCTGACCCAAACCAGCTTGGGCTGATGGTATTCTTTTAATTTTGAATCTTAACTTACCTGAATATATTTCCTTATCTTAAAGGAAGAGCAAAAACATGAGATACAGAGTAAATTTTACATTACAAAATTATGGCATCCTGTAATATTTTAAAAACTCTCTATAATCTTTACAAATGCTTAAGAGTTATTTATCTCATGTCCTAATATCACACAAAGACACTTTCATTTTAATTTCAATCAAAATAAATGAAATACTCCAAGACCTTCTTCCACTTAATATGCCTATTATAAGAAGAACTCCAACTTCTTTAGTAACTTCATTACTAACAAACAAAATGTAAAGCATAACTTCATAAACATAACACCCACTCTAAATATTTTTTAAAGCATTATCTTTGTACTATAGAGAGGATTCAAATAAATTATGCCAGGATATATAACAAAATGAGGAGAAATTATCATATATAAATTATTTATCTAAACAATTAAAGATTGGGAAATATTTGACATTGTAGGCAAACATTAAAGATTTCCCTCAGCAAAAAATAAAAATGTTTAAGTCGCCGAAACCGGTTTGGCTCAGTGGTAGAGCGTCGGTCTGCGGACTGAAAGGTCCCGGGTTCGATTCCGGTCAAGGGTATGTACCTTGGTTGCGGGCACATCCCCGGTAGGGGGTGTGCAAGAGGCAGCTGGTTGATGTTTCTTTCTCATCGACGTTTCTAGCTCTCTATCTCTCTCTCCCTTCCTCTCTGTAAAATATCAACAAAATATATTTTTAAAAAAATGTTTAAGTCATTTACATATCACTTGAAACCAAACTGCATATGCATCTTATGTTCAAATGAAGTCTAGAACAAAGAAATCTGTTCTCTTCCATGGAAAATTCTGTTGTAAACTTACAAGGCAGAACATCATTAATCAATTCAAGGCATGACAAGTAATTAAGAAAGGAAACCCTTTAATTTCTACAACTTCCGTAATTTATTTATTCCAGCTTGTATTAAAAATCTGTACTTCAGTGGTCACCCACTGACTAAACTTTTACAAAGTGCTATAGACAGAAGGAAGGAAAACACTGAAACAGATTATAGCTACAGGAAAGAAGGCTAAAGAACTATTATTCTGTGCACATAAGTCAAAATTGCTGTTGTTTTATATGACATATTAATCTCAGCTAGTTCTATCTACATGCAAACAATTGCAAGTGTAAAGGGCACAAAATATATCACTCACCACTGTTTTTAAAACTCGTTCTAAAATCGTATTTTTGGCTATAAACTCAAGATAGATTTAGTTGAAGTGAGAAATAAGCTTAATATATAGACATAAGACTTTCCCTTTCTCTGTCTAAACATCCATTCATTCACTCATTTATTCATACTCATTCTGTCCTCACCACAATGCACCCCCCCCTCCATATTTCAGGAAAAGTCAGTGATTCTACTATAAATTACAATATATAAAAAAAATTTCCACTAGCTCTTTGGTCTCAGCTGCAGAAACGAGGGGACGAAAGGAATGTCATTGTTCAGCAAGCGCACAAAACGCACACGCGCTGTGCCACTGTGCCTGAAAGAACTACCACCTATAGAAGTCTACCTGGGCAAGTGCAGCTGCCCCGCCAAGCGGAACAGGAAGTATAACTGGAGTGTCAAAGCTGGTGGAATGACAAAACATTACTGGAACTGGTTGCATGAGGCACCTAAAAATTGTATACCATGGATTCCATAAAGGAACAACACCTAAACACAAGAGGGCAGTTACTGCAGCATCCAGTTCATTATAAGGATTTCAAAGGTTGGTCGTGAAACAGATATTCTGGTTTAAAAATATTTTTTTCCCCACTAAACTTTACTACACTAGGAAAAATGTCATTATGAATCTATATTAATTCAAAAGTATTTCCTGATTTCTTTTTCACTTTCTGACAGTTTAAGATTACTGAAAATAATTTACTGATCATCTATATAAACCTAACTATCAAAATAAAATGACTTCTAAATCATGGCTTAACCTAGCTGCAAAGGAAATTAAAACCAATTGAAAACACATCTTCTGAATAATATACAAAAACCATTTACATGTTTCACAAAATGGTTCAGTACATGTATATACCTGTGATAAAATCTAAAATTTCATCAAATTCAATATGCTGGTCTGAAGTTAACGTAAGTTTTAAGATTGGATTATTTTCTTTTGTGAATATTTGTTTAAAATGTAATACAATTCTGTTCCTATTGCGCTGGTGAAGTTGTGTGCTGGATGGGGAGAAAGAAAGACAAGATGGAGAGAAGCAATGATCCACTCTGTATGACTTGGAACACCTTTCCAAATACAATTCAAATCTGTTGGTGGGAAGCAATGTGCTAAAAATGAAACTAGACACACAAGTGAGACAGAAGGGAGTTTCTCAGATCTAGCAAGATTGGCAGAGAAGACTTACTTTAAAAACTCTCAGAAGCTGGACAAAAGAAACAGAAAAATCATCCCAGATTTCTTTCATTCTCCAGAGAACATAAAACGCCCTATTCTACTTGTTATTTCTATCTGTAAATGAAAAACTATTTTTGTATTCTGATCTCGCTCACGGAAATGTGGCAACATTACTCCAAATATCTCTGCTGATGTTTCCAACCAATTTACTTAGAATCAGATTGAATTTTTAAAGGAAAAAGTATTTTAAGGCCCTTCACTTTATGCAAATCAAACTTTTTTTTTTTCCTGTATAGACTGTCACTACTATATTGAGTATATAAAGCAAAAATAAGAAAAAGCCAGAGAACACTGGATAAAAACATGCAGAATGACAGAAAAAAATTCTATAGCTAAAAGAAGACTAGACATGGAGTGGAACAAATCCAATCCCACTACTAAAGCTTTACGTAAATTAGTACTTTCTTTTCATAATCTTGTCCTCCCATTCTCTCAATTTTTTAAATAATATTTCTGGAGTTGAGGCAACTTAGAAGAAACTCTCATATTTGATGAAAAACTCAGGCACTTGGTGAGACAGTTATTTGAACTGCTTAATGTTGGCAATGGTGCAATATGACCCAGACCATTCAGAATTTGAAATTCTAACACTGTTTTAGGTCTAACTTAGGTATTTGATTTTATAAAGGGAATGACTGTCTTAATCAAATTCGAATTGGTTGCAGAGATGTAATTTTGTAGTTTCTCCAAGTGTTCAAGTGAGTAGAGATCTTAGGCCAATATGGTATTCCATGAATTGAGAAGTTTGAGGATCAAGAGAGTTTTGCAGGAGCTCCAGTGGCGCAATCGGTTAACACGCGGTATTTATAAGAGAGTTGGAAAACAAACTTTATCTGTTATTTCTTTCCCCTCATCCTCTGGCCTGCCTTAATCTTTTTCATTTCCTCTGTATACATGCTTTTCAAATTTTGCCAATTTTTTTTTAATACTAGTCAGTTTGGAGAAAGTTTGTTGTCAATACAACAAAATAGCATACATATCAAATCACATATATATCAATATATGTGTAATTCCATCTATTGAAAAAAATCCGAATTATTAATCAGTATACCTGGTATTATCTGCAATATCTATACAAAGAGGTGAATTAACTGCATCACTATGATCAAGAATAAGACTAGTACATTACCACCAACAGTCATAGATCTGGTCAAAGAAGGCTGTAATAAAGTTTCTTCATCATTAAATTGTTTCTCAAGTTCTTCTACAGATTCCTGACGGAGCTGGAGAAATTCTGCTGCCGCTGCTGCTGCTGCTTCTTTAACAGGATCTATCATTCTCCTCAGAAGTATTAGGTCATCTTTCCGGACTTTCAAACAAAGCTTCTCCATTTCTCGGATATTGGAGCGAAGTTGCTAAAAAAGAAAAAAGTATCATTAAAGCCACCATATATCTTAGTATAAAATGTCTTTATTTTCAGAGATAATTTGTGATAATGATTATGAATGAAAATGACTGCAATAGAAAGTATGCATAACATTGCTATGCTTCATGTCTCTGTACAAAACCAACTTCTTTTGAAACTCATATCCTCATACTTTGAATTTATTTAGTGTTTTTCCTTTATTAAATATGATTATTACAAGGGAACAAATGCTCTTCATAATATATCAAACACTGCAGAAACATATCAAGAAAAATTTGGTGATTTCTCCGCTTCACCAATTCCACTACCTCTCTTAATCCATATTTCTCTTCATTCATCCAAACACGGATAGACAGAATCCTTTTTTTTTTTTTTTACAAGAAATGAATTTTATTTATTTATTATGCACAATCTTACATAATAATAGACAAACATGTAAAATTGACCATACCTCCGCTATGCCCACAGCCAATCAGGAGTATGCAAATTAACCCAACAAAGATGGCAGGTTAATTTGCATATGAAGGCACGGAGCAGCCAGGAGGGGCAGGACGCCTGCTATGAGGGGCAGGAGGGTGGTGGAGGGAGCTACAGGAGCAGTGCTAGAGCCAGGAGGGAGGACTTGCAGGCTCCCAGATGGCCAGGAGCAAAGTCAGGGGAAGAAAGGCCTATTCTTGCATGAATATCATGCAGTGGGCTTCTAGTAATCTATAATTTGTCATTCCACATCCCAACTTAATATCATCACAGATATCCTTCCTAGTCAATGGTTGTACCACATTCCATAGTATGGATGGAATGTAATTTATTCAAATATCCTCCAGTGGTCGTCATTCATGTTTCCAATTTAAATTATTACTAATTATGAAACAAATATTCTTTATATTTTATTTTGAATATAAAGCCTAATACACTAAAATTATATATATATATATATATATATATATATATATATATATATTAGTATGATGGTAAATACTATATACTATATTTCATAAAAATGATTCCCCAAAGTGAAAGTACACAGTCAAGGGATAATGTGCATTTTTGTTTCAATAGCTATTATCATCAGCTTTTTTCCTGAACAGCTATAACAATTCATACTACTACTAAAATATGAGTACCCATTTCCCCAGTACTACATGTTATCTCATTGTTTTTTACTTTACATTTCTGAGTGAAATTGCTGAATTTTGTCCAAATGATTCTCCCTTCTTTCAAAACCATCTATTGGCATAATCATAAATTTTCCTCTAATGTGCTAATATAATGAATCATGAACAAGAGTCATAAACAGACCCATCTTTATATTTCTGAAATAAAGTCCCGCCTGGTATGTACATGTGTATGTAATCTTTTTTTAAAAAAATTAAATTCTTTATTGTTGAAAGTATTACATGCTTCCTTTTTTCTCCCACTGACTTCTCCCTGACTAATGCTACCCCTCAACCATTGCCACCTCCCTCCCACCCCCCAGCAGATGCCCTCATCTCCTACTGTCTGTGTCCACTGGTTATGCATGCATACAAGTCCTTTGGTTGGGTTGATCTCTTAACTCCCATTCCACCCTCCCCTTTCTTCCCTCTGAGGTTTGACCATCTGTTCAATGCGTCTATGTCTCTGTATCTGTTTTTGTTCATCAGTTTATGTTGTTCATTATATTCCATAAATGAGTGAGATCATGTGGTATTTATCTTGCTCTGACTGGCTTATTTTGCTTAGCATAATGCTCGCCAGTTCCATCCATGCTGTTGCAAATGGTAAGAATTCCTTCTTTTTTACTGAAGCACAGTATTCCATTGTGTAGATGTACCAGTTTTTTAATCTACTCATCTGGAATTATTTTTAATAGTAATCAGGTGGATAGAAAGTGCACTTAATACCTATATAAGTAGGTCCTCTTTAGATATTTGTTGAGGAAATGAGTGAAGCTTTTTTTCTCCTTTGATTTTTTATTCATTTGGTGGTTCAGTTATTATTATTTAATATGTTTTTTATTGATTTGGGAGAGAGAGAAACATTGATTGGCTGCCTCCTGCACAATCCCCACTGGGAATGAAGTCCATAACTTGGGCATGTGCCCTGACTGGGAATCAAACCAGCAACCTTTTAGTGGATGGGTTAATGCTCAACCACTGAGCAACACTGGCTGGGCTTGGTTATTATTTTTTAAGCTATGTATATTCTTATATATTCCTTTTGAAACTAAGTAAAAAGTTCAAAATTTGTTTCTACTGTAATAATTCACTGACCTGGCTTTTACAGAAACTTAATTAGGCTAGTCTCCCATAGCAATGAAAGTACACAGAATTTGTTGAGAACACAGATTTTGTTGAGAACACAGATTTCTGTTCACCTTTGAAAATTATCTGATTCAGTAGATTTCAGACCACATTTAGAAAGGTATTGCTATACAGATTCCAAGTTTGCGTAAATACAAAAAAAATCAGCCATGAACTTACAAACTTATCATAGCATGACTTATCATAGCATGCCTTACACAACTACATTGGATTCTTAAAATGCCACTTATCAGATTATCTTTTTTAGTAGTGTCAGAAGTTCACTTTTTAGAAACTCTCTTAGAAAAGATCCTATCGCAATATAATTTCTGCTATATTATCATACAACTATTTTTTTTCAATTTGACTCACTTCCCTAAAGTATCACTTTTTCTAGTATTTATTTTTATAACTATTATGAATTCCAAGCTAGCATGATTGTTTTCTCTTATGGGTTTCCTTCCCACTTCACTATTTTATGGTTGTATGTCAGAACTAATTCCAAAAGAGTTAATTCTTTTATTAGTTTTTGTTGTTGTTAATCCTCACCGAGGATATTTTTTCCATTAATTTTTAGAGAAAGTGGAAGGGAGGGAAAGAAGGAGGGTAATAGAAAGGGAAGGGAGAGAGAGAAGCGTTGATGTGAGAGAGGCATTAATTGGTAGCTTCCTGCTGTACCCTGACCAGGCCAGGGAACAAACTTGCAACAGAGGAACAACAGGAACATGTCCTGGACCTGGAATCAAATCCATGACCCTCCAGTGCATGGACTCATGCTCTAACCACTGAGAAACACTGGCCAGGGCTCATTACTTTTTAAAAAACTAATGTAAAATGCAATGTTTCACATGCCAGGGACTTATATTATGGTTTCCTAGGGAAGAATTCTAGCTAGTTCCTTGACAGTTGGAGATCTCTGTTGTTGGACCACTGATTTGTCACTGTAGAAAATAATAAAGTATTCACTAATTTACCATGTTTATTCTATCAAACTGATATATACTTCCAGAAAGAAACCACACAGCCAAAAGATGGTGGTGTGTTGGAGACAATACTGTTTCAAGATATGAGAACTGAGCTCTAATCCTAATTTTGCCACTGTGTTCATCTGGATGCCAATTTACTTATTGTAAAATCATGGAGTTGGATTGAATGAGCACATAGCTTTCTTAAGGTTCTATGATTTTTACATATTAATGATTGTATTAATCTACAGTCCAATTATCTTTAGGTTTTCTAGCTCACGTTGGAATATAATAGTAAGAGTATACATAAGGTTAAAGGAAGTAGAGTCATGGCAGATAGAGGCACAAAATTTTTATTCACCCAATCTTATAAGATGTTTTAGGTTGTAGCTAAACTATTATTTCCAATATTAGCTTTAATTTTACTAGGATAAAATGGATACTTTATATTGTATTAAGGTACCATATAGATATGGACTATGTTTATAGTTTAACTAGAGGCCCAGTGCATGAAATTCATGCACGGATGTGTGTGTCCTTCAGCCCAGCCTGCGCCCTCTCCAATCTGGGATCCCTCAGTGGGATGGGGCCTAAACAGGCAGTCAGACATCCCTCTCACAATCCAGGACTGCTGGCTTTCAACTGCTCACCTGCCTGCCTGCCTGATTGCCCCTAACTGCTTCTGCCTACCAGCCTGATCATCCCCAAACCGTTCCCCTGCCAGCCTGATCCACACCTAACTGCTCCCTTGCTGGCTCAATTGCTCCAGACTACAATCCCCTACCAGCCTGCTCACCCCTAACTGCCCTCCCCTACAGGCCTGGTCACCTCCAACTGCCGTCCCCTGCAGGCCTGGTCCTCCTAACTGCCCTCTCCTGCAGGTCTGGTCCCTCACAACTGCCCTTCCCTGCTGACCTGATCACCCACAACTGCCCTCCCCTGCCAGCCATTTTGTGACAGACATTTTTTACCATATGGGGGCGGCCATCTTATGTTGGAGTGATGGTCAATTTGCATATTAGCTCTTTATTATATAGGATGTAATGACTGCTGGATTTGTAAGAATACTTGGATTTTGCTGAAACCGGTTTGGCTCAGCGGTAGAGCCTTGGTCTGCGTACTGAAAAGTCCCAGGTTTGATTCCGGTCAAGGGCATGTAAGTTGGTTGCAAGCACATCCCCAGTAGAGGGTGTGCAAGAGGCAGCTGGTCGATGTTTCTCTCTCATCGACGTTTCTAGCTCTCTATCTCTCTCCCTTCCTCTCTGTAAGAAATCAATAAAAAAAAAAAAAAAAAAAAAAAAAAAAGAATACTTGGATTTTAATCCCAACTTTGCTTCTATATAATGAAGTAAATTTTGAACTACTTTTTTAAATTTTTCTATATGTAATAATGTGGAATGTAATAATATGGAACATAACACCTCAGAGTATGCACTTGAGAAATTAAAAAAATTAATACTTTTTTCCTGTCTACTACGTAGAATTTGCATTAGTATTTTTGAAAATACATTAGGGGAAAAGAATTTAAATATTGTATGAATAGAGATCTATACTTTTTATTTTTAAATATATATTTTTATTGATTTCAGAGAAGAAGGGAGAGGAAGAGAGAGGTAGAAACATCAATGACGAGAGGGAATCATTGATTGGCTGCCTCCTGCACGTTGGACTGAGCCTGCAATCTAGGCATGTACCCTTGACCAGAATCAAACCTGGCCGAAACCGGTTTGGCTCAATGGATAGAGCGTAGGCTTGGGGACTGAAGGGACCCGGGTTCGATTCTGGTCAAGGGCATGTACCTTGGTTGCGGGCATATCCCCAGTAGGGGGTGTGCAAGAGGCAGCTGATCGATGACTCTCTCTCATCGATGTTTCTAACTCTCTATCAGCTCTCTATCTCTCTCCCTTCCTCTCTGTACAAAATCAATAAAATATATTTAAAAACAAAACAAAACAAAAAAAACCTTGGACCCTTCTGTGCACAAGCCAACACTCTAGCCACTGAACCAAACTGGCTAGGACAAGATCTATAATTTTTAAAATCTTCGTACTGAGATCATTCTTAAAATTTAATTCTATTTACTTGTCAAAGAATAGTTGATTTTTATGGTTTTCAATGTATAAACCATTGGAAAGGTGGAAAGCTCCCAATTTTATGAAGTTAGCACACCTTAAACCTATTAAAGTGAGTTTAAACCTAGTAAAAGTAGTATAGACACACACTGTTCACATATGCATACTTAAATTTACATTTGCTAAAATTCTAATTAAAATATTAGCAAATTGAATTTAACAGTATATTAAAAGATTACACACAGCTTTATTGGATGTCATATTGGCAAATATTATGAAACTACCAATTTGTACTTCTTAATTTCTTCACCTTTTCCACCCATTTCCCCAAACCCCTGTCTTTTGGCAACCATCAGTCTGTTCTCTGTATGTCTGTCTGTTTCCTTTAAAAAAAAAAAAAAATGGATTTACTGGGGTGACATTAGTTAATAAATCAGGTGTATAATTCTATAATACATCATTTGTATATTGTATTGTGTTCTCCAACCCAAGTCAAGTCTCCTTTCATTACCATTTATTCCCCCTTTACCTTCTTCTAACTCCTCCCACCCCAATTTCCCTCTGTATAAGTCTGTTTCAAATGTGTTTGTTCATTTATTTTGTTTTTTATATTCTACATTAAGTGAAATCATATGGTATTTGTCTTCTTCTGAGTGATTTATTTCTCTTAGCATAATACCCTCTGGGTCCATCCATACTGTCACAAATGGTAAGATTTTGTTATTTTTTTTTAAAATATATTTTATTGATTTTTCACACAGAGGAAGAGAGAGGGATAGAGAGCTAGAAACATCAATCAGCTGCCTCTTGCACAGCCCCCACCGGGGATGTGCCCGCAACCAAAGTACATGCCCTTGACCGGAATCGAACCCGGGACCCTTCAGTCCGCAGGCCGATGCTCTATCCACTGAGCCAAACCAGTCCCGGCAGATTTTGTTATTTTTTATGGCTGAGTAATAAAGTGGTGTATATATGCACCACTTCTTTTTTATCCATTTGTCTATTGATGAGCACCTTTGTTGCTTCCATATCTTGGCTATTGTAAATAATGTTATAATGAATATAGGGGTGCATATATTCTTTCAAATCAATGTTGTGGGTCATAAGGCAGATCCATTTTTAATTTTTTGAGGATCCTCTATATTGTTTTTCATAGTTGATGCACCAATCTGCATTTCCACCAACAGTGCACAGGCGTTCCATTTTCTCCACATCCTTGCCAACACTTATTGATTTATTGATGATGGCCATTCTGATAGAGTTACATGCCAGAGGTTATATGTCATTGTGGTTTTAATTTGCATTTCTCTAATGATTAGTGATATTGAGCATCTTTTCATATGTCTATTGGCCATCAGTATATACTCTTTGTAGAAGTGTCAAGCCAGGTCCTCTGCCCATTTTTTAATTGGACTATTTGTTTTTTGGTTGTTGAGCTGTATCAGTTCTTTATAAAATTTGGATATTAATCCCTTATCAGATGTATCATTGGCAAATATCTTCTTCCATTCAGTAGGTTGCCTTTTTTGTTGTTGATGATGGTTTCCTTTGCTGTGCAAACACTTTCTAATTTGATGTGGTCCCATTTTATTTTTTATTTTTTATTTTGTTTCCTTTGCCCTAGGAGATATATCAGAAAAAAATATTGCTATGAGAAATGTCAGAGGTTTTACTGCCTGTGTTTGCTTCTAATACTTTTGAATCTTACATTTAAGCCTTTAATCTATTTTGAGTTTCTTTTTTTATATGGTATAAGAAGGTTGTCTAGTTTAATTTTTTTTGCATGTTCAATTTTCCCCAACAACTATGTTCTTGCCTCCTTTGTCAAATATTAATTGACCATATAGGTATGGATTTATTTCTGGGTTCTCTATTCTGTTCCATTGATCTATCTATCTGTTTTTATGCCAGTATCTTACTATTTTGATTACTACAGGCTTGTATATGATATACACATTTTTAAAAGCACTAAACTAGAAAGCTTGGAATGCCTTCATTATTGAAAAAAGAGTTCCAACTAGAATTCTCTATCTATTGAAATTAGCAATTACACATGAAGGGAGAATAAAGGTATTTTTCAGTCACAGAATATCTTAAAATTTTACCACCAAGATTCCCTATTTGCAGAGCTACTGGAAGATGTACTCCAACAAAACAGTGGAGTAAACAAAAAAATGAGAAAGACATGATATCCAAGAAAACAAGGACCCAACACAGAGGAGCAGCTCAGGAAGTTCAAACAAGCCTAGAAAGTAAGTCCAGATTGAAACTGGGGAAAGGGCTTCAGAAAAGAGTCTTCAGAATAAAGAAGTCATGTAATTGAGCATATGAAAAACATTGACAGCATGTCGCAGAAATGTGCAGCATTTAGGAAAAAAACACAATATGTGAAAAGCCAGGAGATTTAAAAAATGAGGCAATTATTAACTTAAAAAACACACAAAATGATGTACTATATTTCATTAATTTGGCTTAGCAAGAAACTATTCTACAATATATAATAAAGGATAATATGCAAATTAACCATCACTCTTTCAAAAAGATGGTGGTGCCCACAGCACCCCAGTCAGCAGAGGGAGGGCAGGCTTCTAGCCAGATGCTGCACAGGATGCTGGGGCAGCATCACCCCAGCGACGAGCCATACGTCCCGCACACCCCAGCCCATGGAGGGAAGGCAGGCGGGTGGGCCTCTGGTCAGTGTCCTGTGTGCCCCAGCCCACCAAGGGAAGGTGGGCGGAGGGACACCTCCCCACCTCCAGTGCACAAATTTCATGTACCGGGCCTCTAGTATCTTTATAATCAAATAATGAGATACTAGTAACTAATTTAACCATAAGTTATATATTATATAATTATGTAAAGGAGAGGAAAGTAAAGAGCAAGGTGGAAAGTTAGGTCTCCACCCTTTATGGCAAGAAATGAAGAGATCATGACTAAACCTGATTAAGAAATACCAGTTTACACATTGTATTTAGGAATAGAGTTTTAAAAAACAGAGAAAATGACCCAAAGGATTAAAAGTGGTTTCTTCCAAGTAGGACTTGGGGATGGATAAGGGAAGGGTTTTATCAGACTTTTAATTTTATTTGGCTTTTAACTGTGTAAACATTATTTTAAAAAATTAATTTAAAATAATTAAAATTTATTTATTAAAATGCCAATAACTAGCAAAGAATAATCATAACACTATATTAATTCAACAACATTACAGAGAGATCAGTATTTTCAAATTGGAAGAAACTCTCACAAAAGACAACATAATATATGCAAGGCACATGAACAGTCAATTTACAAAAGAAATATTACCACCCAAGAAGTATATGAAAAAACCTTTCACATTTCAAAGCAATAAAAGAAAAATTCCAGATTAAAACAGAAAAATGCAACATTATTTTAATCTACTAATTAGCAAAAATTTGAGAAATGGGAAATATTAATGTTGGCAAGATTTAAAAAAAATACCATGATTGTGGGAATATAAGTTGATAAATCATTTCTGGAGGAAATTTTGATAAGATGAACCAAAATCCTAAATATGTTCATAACATTTCATTCAGTAATTCCTCGTAGAAATAAATAAGGAAATAGTTCTCAATATGCATAAAAGGATTCAGCTACAAGGGTATTCATTTTACAAAATTTTCTTAAGTCGGTCTACAAACTGATTTACTAGAAACATAGCCTTACCTGAACTGTACGTCCTGCATTGATATGCTCTTCGTGCAACTTGTCCCAGATTCTGCATCTCTGATACTACACAAAAGAGAAAGAAAAGGAACAAAAAATTTTTATCAGTAAAGTGATTATTACTAGCTACCACAAAAATCCTCAGTCACCTACCCAAACATAAACATATTAGCTAAGAGGGAGGGGGGAGACAGAGAGAAAAGAAAGAAGAAGAGAGAAGAGGGAAAGGAAGAATGAATTGAGAGATTACTGAAAGAGGGGGGGGGGGGGGAAACACCAAAAAATATGGTTCTCATTATTTCATCTTAGCTGGAATGTAAGAGCTGCAGTTGCCATTTATATGCAAGTTGTCCTGGCCAGTGTGGAATGTTTGTCCTGTACAACAAAGTGTGGTGGTTTGATTCCCAGTCAGGTTTAAACCCCAGTTGGGTTGCATGCAGAAGGCAATCAATTGGTGTTTCTCACATTAATGTGGGGTGTCTCTCTCTCTCTCTCTCTCTCTCTCTCTCTCTCTCTCTCTCTCTCTCTCTCTCTCTCTCTCTCTCTCTCTCTCTTTCTTCCCCTCTCTCTAAAAAAAGAGACAGAAATAACTTGAGATTTGAACAGTAAGTTAAAAAGAGCCAGGACCTTTAATGACTTTTGAGCTGCCACTGTAGCCCTAGATTGTCTCTATGAGATTAAATATAAAAGCAAAAACAAAACTTCTGTCTTATTTCCTATACTAATTTGGAGTTTCCTGCAAACTTGCATGCTAACTATAGATCAATAAATCAGTACATGCTACACAATATGTTTCCCTCAAGTCCCTATAATATGAAACAAAAAAATTATGTTCCAAGCTTGTTGTTCCTATTCACTACTCTTACGTCTATCTTACATTAGCCAAAAAGTTGAATGCTAATCAAGTCTATCACGTATAATAAAATGTACTGCTGAAGGACCTATGGAATATAGTCCCAGGTGTCCACAGCACACTACTCTCATTGTTTTCAGATATTGCAGAATCACTCCACTAAGGCTTACCTTCAATTTCCCTTCAGTCTGACTTTCTTCTTTTAAATTCATATTGGATGACTGATGGCTAACATAATAAATACTTTATCTTTCTACACTCTTCACCCAGGAAAATATGCCTTTTTTAAAGTGAGGCGCCATTAGACACCTGAAGTCCAAAATTAGTTCTTAACTCCTGTCCACAGTGAACACTGCTGCTTTTATATAATTTTACATTGCCATAAACTATCTATTAAGATATGCTATTCAATCTGATATAAATACCAAATCACTTTCATAACTAAACTAGAAATCCTAGAATAAGTAAAATGATCAAGAGCATGGAATAAAACATAAATCAATATGAGTTTAACTGCTTAGCTTCAAACAATATCACTTATATTGTGAATTATAAGTATTATGATATTGTCTAACATTTTCACAGTAAGTAAAAATTAAAAACAACAACAACAAAGAAATACTGTTCTGGCAAAGAACATTCAATATAACTCTAGAATAATTTTCTTATAAAGTCTGGTACAACTAACCAAGTCAGTAATAGATCCATTCCTATCCCAACCCAGCTTTCTCTCAGGGTTCTGACTTTTACACTGATGGCTGGATGATACATATGTTTAAGCTCTGAAGATACCAGCAGGCACTTTCCTATAGAATAAATATAATAAAAAGGAAATCTAAAACATGCCAAACCTCAAATGTAAAATAGGACAATAAAGAGGAAAATATGGTCTCAATAGAACATAGTCTACTTATTTCTGCCTTTCATAATCAATTCTGCAAATTTTTGTCATCTTTACAATCAAGCACTTCAAAATGAGCTCAGGAATTTGAACTAATCAATCAAAAGTAAGCAACTCTATTTCTATGCTGTTACAGTACTAAAAGAATGAGCCTTCCTGTCGAAACCAGTTTGGCTCAGTGGATAGAGCGTCGGCCTGCGGACTGAAAGGTCCCGGGTTCGATTCCGGTCAAGGGCATGTACTTGGTTGCGGGCACATCCCAAGTGGGGGTGTGCAAAAGGCAGGTGATCGATGATTCTCTCTCATCGATGTTTCTGACTCTCTATCCCCCTCTCTTCTTCTCTATAAAAAATCAATAAAATATATTTTTTTTAAAAAATGAGCCTTCCTAATTAAACAAAGCATGGAACCCTTTAATTTGTTTATGCTCATGACCAGAATAACCAGTTTACTGGAGAACTCTTCCATCCTTAAAAGTCATAGTTCTGTCCCGGGTGACTCCACTGGTCGGAGTGCCATCTCATGCACCAAAAAGGTTGTGAGTTGGATTCTATTATAGTCAGGTCACATACCTAGATTGTGGGTTCAATCCCCATTTGGGGCACAGAATCAATGTTTTTCTCTCTCACATAGATGTTTCTCTTTCTCTCTCAAATCAATAAAACATAGCCTGGGGTGAAGGTTTATTTAAAAGCCACAGTACTTATTGCTTATGAATAAAACAGAAATTAAGAAAAAAAAACACAACAGGAATTAAGGAATGACAAAATATGAATCTTGAATTGTAGATACCTTGATATTTGCTTTTTAAAATTTTTATTGCTGACACTATTATAGATGTCCCCATTTCCCTCCCCTTTGCCCTCTTCCACCCAGCCCCAGACCTCACCCTCACCAGGCCTTCACCCCCATTATATACCTTCATATTTGTATGAAAACCTTCATATTTGTATGGAAATTTTCATTGTAATATTCTTGACACTCATTTTCTATAGTTTTTTTAAAATGTGTTTTTATTTTATTTATTTATTTATTTATTTATTTATTTATTTATTTATTTTAAGAACGAGAAAGGGAAAGGGGGAGAGATGGAAATAGCCATTGGCTGCCTCTTGTTCACCTTCTACTGGGGGTCAAGCTCGAAACGCTGACATGTGCCCTGACTGATGGGACGACTCTCAACCAAGTGAGCCACACTGGCTGGGCTATTTATTTTCTATACTTTAAAAAAAAATACTTAAATATTAGGAAGACAGATACATATGGAGGAAAAAGCTGATGCTCTTTTAACTTGTAAGGTAGTAGGTTGAGGGTGATAAATATTTTTGATAAAGGCTTAATGATCACTTCTATCCCACTCCCCAAATCAACAGAGGGCATATAGCTTAAAATTTATAGTGAGGAAGGTTCTTTTGAAAGATAAAATACCACTAATCTGTCCCACAGCAATTAAAGATAAAATATCAAAATCAATGCTCAGTACTGAATAAACCTGATGTTCCCATAAATACCATAATCATTCCACCAGACCCTGGCCAGTCTAGGTTCTATGCAACCTCCACCAGAGTCCCTGAGACTAGTTCTTCCCTCTACTTATCTCCTAAACTGACCTCTAGACCACATGTGTCAAACACAAGGCCCGCGGGCCAAATCCGTCCCGCCAGGCCTTGCAATGTGGCCCGCACCGCACTGTCATCACTGCACTCCACTGCGTTTCCATCACAATGACAGTTTATGACTGCTCAGTAAACCATTCGGCCCGCGATTTAGGCTGGATTTTAGATTTTGGCCCCTTCTCTGATTGAGTTCAACACCCCTACTGACAATATTTCTGAATTTGAGTCATTCCTCAAAGCAGTGAAATTGGGAAATTCCCTTGTATCACATAATGATTTGCCTCTTTAATGCATCTGAAGAGATTAGGAGTTACTGACAGACACAAGGTTCAAAACATTTGCCATCAGATGAATAAAATTAAGATAGGCCCCCTCAGCCAAAGTTTGCCACCTTCATGTTTTAGTGCATTATCAAATTGTTTGTATTTTAATTATCAATTGCTTAATATGTCAGTATGTACAACTAAAAAGATGCAGATCCTATTCTTATATCCCTTCCTAAAAAAATAATAATATAAGGGGTATTTGCAGAACAACAACAACAACAAAAGCACAGATGAAAGAATGTTGCTAAATCAATAGAAGCAAGATGTTTCAGCAAAGCTTATTTAATATTCTGAATTTAGCTAAAATGTACAACAAATATAAATCTGAATATGTACATGATTTTTTGTGGTAGAAATAGAAAAACTTACCTTCTCAATATTTATCTGGTGCTTTCTTAACCTCTCCAGGTCTGTGGGGATTACTATTTTAATGAATTTCTGGATAGCTGGTTCAAGACGGCGTAATTTCACTTTTTCTTCATCTTCAGACATCCTAAAATATGTTGTCTTCTACTTGCAACAACTGTATTCTCTACTCATATAGAAAAACCTAAAAGGAAAATATTTATTTACGAATGTTTTCAAATGTGTTCCTATTAGGTAATTTTATAATTTATTCTAAATACATATTCAACTTAATGATGAACTTCAGTGACTTTTTTCAAGAAACCTTTTATTTGAAAAGCTTTTTCTCTGATCAAAAGTAATATATATTTCCACATGCATATAAGTACAACCAATGGACACAAAACTCTGGGGAGGGAGGGGATGTGTGGGAGGGAGGGAGGGAGGGGGGCAAAAAAAAAATCAATAAAATATATATTAAAAAAATCAATAAAACATATTAAAAACAACAACAACAACAACAACAAAAATAAAATAAAAATTAAAAAGATTAAGACCATTGGAAAAAAAATAATATATATTTCCTTTAGAATGTTTAGAAAATATAAAAGGTGTCAAGTGGTACAACTGGAGGAAAAAATTCATTTTTAACATTTCTGCTTGTATCAATCTTCATTTTTTTAAAATTAAATTATTATCTGTGTACATATTTTACCATTGCCCCCTCCCATACATACCCACCCTCCCCAGAGTTTTGTGTCCATTGTCAATCTTCATTTTAATGTTATCATAATGTACCTATGTAATTATTCTAATATATATAAAAAGTCACGACCGAAACTAATGGACGGACGACTGAACAAAGGCTGCATGGGGCGACGGGCATGAGGGACAACCAAACAACTGAACAGCAGGCTGTGTGGGGCAACCAGGCTGGCAGGAGGGGAAGTTGGGGGCAACCAGGCGGTTGGAGAGGGCAGTTGGAGGCAACCAGGTTGGCAGGGGTCAGTTGGGGGCGACCAAGCTGGCAGAGTGGCAATTAGGGGCAACCAGGCCAACAGGAGTGGGTAAGTTGGAAGTAACCAGGCCGGTGGGGATTGGGAGGGGCAGTTGGGGGTGAGCAGGCTGGCAGAAGAGGGCAGTAAGGGGCGACCAGGCTGGGGGGGGGGCAGTTAGGGTGACCAGGTCGGTGGGGGTGGGGCAATTGGGGGCAACCAGGCCAGCATGGCAGGGGGGAGCAGTTAGGGGCGATCAGGCAGGCAGGCAGGTAAGCAGTTAGGAGCCAGCAGTCCCGGAATGTGAGAGGGATGTCCGATCCCTGGGATTGAGCCTAAATTTGCAGTCAGACTTCCCCTGAGGGGTCCCTGATTGGAGAGGTTGCAGGCTGGGCTGAGCCCCACCCCCCTCAACCCCTGCACAAATTTTGTGCACTGGTCCTCTAGTATACTATAACATAGTATGTAATTCTTTTCATCAATATCCTTTAATTGCCTCTTCCCTTTCTTACAGTGATTAGCACTGTCTACAAACAATACCAAAAAAATTAGTGACACAGCTGGAATAAGAACCCAGGATTCCTCAGCATACAATCAAATGCTCTTTCTAATTCACAAGAGGTTACTACCAGTATTCCACAAGGTCCAAGGGTATGCATTTGAGGCCAGGGTAGAAGAAAGTAGGGATTGGCAAGCGAGCAGGCTCCAGGATCCCACAAACTTGAGTTTATTAGATTTTATATAAATAAAGGGCTCCACTGCTTAACCAAGCTTTAAAACCATTGTTATGCACCACAGTTCCATGCATCTCATTAGCCACAACCTCTTCCATATTTTTTTTTTTTTAATTCATTGCCCATGTTAATTCCATTGGGTTATTATGTCTTACACCAGGGTCCACAGAGATAAGGGTTCACAAAAAGACTTTGTGGAATCACTAAATCTTTATGAAAAATTGTGTATGTATTTTGAGTTATTTTGAAGGACAGTGTCCACTGCTTTCATGAGATTATCAAAGAGATCTATCACTCTAGAAACATTAAGAACTATTCTAAGTAATGTTCTGTTTCTCTTTCTTTCACAGTTGAAAATTTTGAAGTGTTGGTTATACAGACTACCTTATTTACTTGTAATTTGAATTTAATGTTTAAGTTCAAAAGCAAAAAAAGGAAAATCTCCAGACACCAATAATGAGTCCTATAGTGAGTGGGAATTAGAGACACATGAAGTTAAATGCCAAAAGAGTTAGTCCTCAAACCCAACAACACAGAAAAATTCACTAAGGAACTAGAAATGATAAAGCAATCTAAAAAGAAAATTAAAATAGGTACATTAAAAATATTCAAAGGTAAAATGGAAAGAATAGAATCTTTTTTAAAAATTAGATATTATGAAACAGTAACAGACCAATCTAAAAATAAACCAAGTAAAAAGTACACTTTAAAATTTTTACTCAACACTGTAGCTAAAGATATCAGTCCGAACACAGAGGAATAAAGAGGTACAAAATATAAATAGAAAACTAGGGACCTAAAGGATAAAATGAGAAGCTCAACAACAAAAAGGAGTCCCATAAGGAAAGAGTAAAGTGGTGAAAAGGCATTCATTATTCAAAGAGAATATGCTGAGAATTAGAATGTAGGACCTCAAATTGAAGATGCACATAAACCCCAACTAGCATAAATAGAAAAATAAAAATTTATCTGAACATATGGAAGGGAAACTGCAGAACATCAAGGACAAAGAGAAAAATCTTAAAAAGCAAATCAAAGATAAAAGATAAACTAAACCAATAAAAACAGCAAACTTTTCATCAAAGCAGGATATCAAAAGTTACGAATATCTTCAAAGAGCTAAGGGAGTTGGTATATACCCAGGAAAATTATTATTTAGAAGTGAAGGAAAAATAATAATTATCAGATATATGAAGACTGAGTTCATTACCAAGCCTATGATTAAAAGAACTACTAAAGTGCATACTTTAACAATAAAGAAAATAAACTCAATGGAGTGGAATGGCAAAGAGCAATCAATATAATAAAGTATACTGTTACTGGGTAAATAAACAAATAAAATGAATAAAGAAAGGGTTTAAAGAAAGGGTCTTTAAATAACCTGATTACATATAATAAAAATGTTTCCATTAAAATTATTTTTCTACAATGCATCTTTTTATTATTAATTCTCACCAGAGGATATGTTTTTTGTTTTTCTTTTTAAATCGATTTTAGGGAGGAAGGGAAGAGAGAAAAATCATTGTTAGAGAGAGACATCGATTGGTTGCCTCCCACACTCATCCTAACTCAGGATTGAACCCACAACCTGGGTATGTGCCCTGCCTGAGGATCGAACCTGCCACCCTCTGGTGTATGAGATGACACTCCGAGTTACACTGGCCAGGGCTACAATGCATCTTTTTATAACACATGGTATTACTTGGCATAAATGTTCTATAATTTAACTAATCATCGATAGTTGGCTATATAGATTGTTTCTAATTTACCTCCATTATAAACTACTAGAGGCCCAGTGCACAAAATTCATGAATGGAGAGGGGAGTACTCAGCCTGGCCTGCCCCCTCTCCAATATGGGACCCCTAAGGGGATGTCCAACTTCCAGTTTAGGGGCCTAAACCGGCAGTCAGACATCCTTCTCACACCAGGACAACTGGCTCCTAACCACTTGCCTGCCTGCTTGATCACTCCTAACTCCTCTGCCAGTCAGATCGCCCCTAATTGCCTCTGCCTGCCTGATCACCCCTAACTGCCCTCCCCTGCTGGCCTGATCTTGTCCCCAACAACCCTCCCCTACTGGCCTGATCTTGCCCCCAAATATCCTCCCCTGCTGGCCTGATCACCCCTAACTGCCTCTGCCTCAGCCCCACCACCATGGTTTTGTCTGAATGAAAATCGGATGTCTGGAAGATGGCCAGTCAACTGGGTCTAATTAGTATATTACCCTTTTATTAATATAGATGCCACAGTGTAATTACCCTCCTTACACATAAATCAAAATACCATCTATAGTTATATTTTTAAGTTAAATACCTTGAAAATTAGTAGGTATACACATTTTTTAGAATGTTTGATACCAAATGTCCTTAAAAAGACTGTGCCTATTGACATTCCCACTAACAACACATCAAAATGCCCATTTATTGATTTAATATTTGCTATTATCATTCTTCTTAGACATTTAACTGGTCACAAAAATGGTGTCTCATTCTTGTTTTATTTTTCAACTAGAGGCCTGATGCACAAATTTGTGCACAGTTGGGGTCCCTAGGCCTGGCCAGTGCTCAGGGCTGCCCAGGGGAAGGAGTGGGAGGTTGGCTGGCCACAGGAGGTTGGCTGAGGGAGCACACTGACCACCAGGGGGAAGCTTCTGCATTGAGCACCTGCCCCATGGTGGTCAGTGCACATCATAGCGACTAGTCAACCTGTCGTTCTGGTAGTTAGGTTGGAAAGGTCGCTTAAACTTTTGTATAGAGAGAGATTCTTAAATTACTAATGGGATTGATTTACTAGCCCAGTAGTCGGCAAACTCATTAGTCAACAGAGCCAAATATCAACAGTACAATGACTGAAATTTCTTTTGAGAGCTAAATTTTTTAAACTTAACTTCTTCTAACATCTCTTCTTCAAAATTGACTTGCCCAGGCCGTGGCATTTTGTGGAAGAGCCACACTCAAGGGGCCAAAGAGCCGCATGTGGCTCACAAGCCGCAGTTTGCTGACCACGGTACTAGCCATTTGCATGTCTTCTTTCATGAAACGCCAGCTCATGTGAAATGTTGGTTTTACTATCAGGTATGTTTTTCTTTTTAAATATATTTTATTGTTTTTTTTTTACAGAGAGAAAGGGAGAGAGATAGTTAGAAACATTGATGAGAGAGAAATTTCGATCAGCTGCCTCTTGTACAACCCCTATTGGGAATGTGCCCGCAACCAAGGTACATGCCCTGGACCTTTCTATCCACTGAGCCAAACCGGTTTTGGCTGTTTTTCTTATTATATGTAACATATAATAGACATAAATTATGAACTATCTGTCTAACATTAATGTTAGAAATACTGAAATTATGTATCTACTAGGATTGAAATAAAATATTTTGTAGACAATGAAAACCAGATTTCTTACTGTCAAAGAAATTACAAGTAAGGGGCGAGAACAGAATGAATCCTGTGGTGTTAGATTAGAATCAGAGGTACTAGAATAAACTTTTGTTTTTATTTTATATATATATATATATATAAATATAATATATATGCAGATATATATACACAGATGTCTATATACACAAATATAAAATTTTGTTTATGCCTGGATATATGTGTATATAGACACACACACACACATATATCTCCATACTCTATAAGTATCTCCATATATAAATAGCTTACGTGTGTGTGTGTGTGTGTGTGTGTGTGTGTGTGTGTGTCAGGCACTACAAGTAATGATACCCCATTAGCAAAGAGCATTCCTATTGCCTAATCTAGATCTTGGTGTTTAAGTAACACTCTAAAAAACAAACAAAAAACCAGGGATCCTTGGAGAAGTGGTTGATTCCAGGGGTGGGGCATGATAAACCCATCTTAAGGTGCCAGAAATTCTTAAAAAAAAAAAAAAAAAAAAAAAAAAAAAAGGATAGAGGTTTGTCAAACAGGCACTATGATGCACACTGAAAAAACTCCCAAAGGCCAAAGCTGGGACAATGTGAACATAAAATAAATGACAAGAGTATAGAATAAACAATAAAAAAATAAATGAATCCATACCGATACTAATAAATAACAATATCACATAAATAAATGGGAAGGGCAGCTTTTCCTTCAGAAGTACTTAAATTAATAAATGAAGAAGTGAGGGAAACAAAGTCACCAACATACCATTACAATAATAATTACTGAAGGCAAGATCCATTGATGGATGCTAAAATAAGAAAGTGAAAGTTTGAGGAGAAATAGGATGTTTGTATAGTTTACAAGTTCTCTCCCAGGATATCAATTGTTTACAAAGTTCCCTATGTAAAGTACAATAGTACCTTTTTTTTTTTTTTCATAGTACCTTTACATTAGAGAATTCCAGCAGACCAAACCTTAACTAAACAATCAAAAGTAATATAAAATACAGTGCGGTTACATCATAAATGATTAACTGAGAAGGGCACATATGCTTCTGTGGTATCAACAAAAATGCACAACCTTAACCATGAAAAAATTTCAGGCAAAACCCAACTGACAAAATAACTGACCATAAAGCATAAAGATCATGAAAGACAGAAAAAGACTGAGCTGTCACAGATTGGAAGAGAATAAGGAGCCATGCCAACTAAATGCAATGTGGGGTCTTAAATTGGTTCCTGGTGCAGAAAAAGGTCAAGAGTATAAAAAATGGTGGCAAATTGAAGAAAATTGGTATAGAATTGGGCGTATGTCAATGTCTTACTTTTGATCATTGTACCAATTATACAGGTGTCAACATTAAAGCAAGCTGTAGAGGACTCTGTATTATTTTTATAGCTTTTCTATATTTGTAAAATTATGTCAAAACAAAGTCTTTTTTTCTTAAGGGGCTTCTATATATATACGTTTTTAAAGTAAACTGATGTTTTACATAAACAGGGCAAACATTTAGCAGGCAGTCGAAGCCAGTTTGGCTCAGTGGTAGAGCGTCGGTCTACGGACTGAAAGGTCCCAGGTTCGACTCAGGTCAAGGGCATGTACCTAGGTTGCAGGCACAACCCCAGTAGGGGTTGCAAGAGGCAGCTGATCGATGATTCTCTCTCACTGACGTTTCTAGCTCCCTATCTCTCTCCCTTCCTCTCTGTAAAAAATCAATAAAATATATATTTTTAAAAATTTTTATTAGAAGCCAAAGAACTGCGACCTTGTCAGGGCACAAACACCTCGGGGGAGGGGTTTCCAGGCGCTACTCGCTTTACCATTCAGCACTTAACTGCATCAGCTGAGCACCAGGATGCTCACGCTTCCCAGGAGGAAATAGCGCCGGGAGTTAACTAAATCACTTAAAAGATTATTTATATCTAAAAGCCCCAGACGAAACTGGTTTGGCTCCGTGGATAGAGCCTGGGACTTTGGACTGAAAGGTCCCAGGTCCGATTCCGGTCAAGGGCATGTACATTGGTTGCGGGCACATCCCCGGTTGGGGGGTGTGCAGGAGGCAGCTGGTCAATGTTTCTCTCCCATCCATGTTTCTGGCTCCCTATCTCTCTCCCTTCCTCTCTGTAAAAAAATCAATAAAATATATATAAAAAATGATTTAAAAAATGAAAGCCCAAAAGCCCCATTTCTCAGAAAACAAAACAAAAATCCAAAATCCAAAATCTTTGGAACGCCGCCCCACCCTCTCCCCCTACATTGGTCGCCCCGAGTGTCCGCCTGGGGCACGGTGTCCCGAATTTGGAAAGTCCAGGCCTTGGGTCCTACCATATGGTCTCCTCTCTGAGCCTGGGACCCCGAATGTGCGAAAGGGGAGCCCTCAGCCCACACCTCCCGGCCGGTCGGGCTGACAGGAGGCGCGGGCCTCTCGCACCCGGCCCTCCCCTCCGCACCCCGAGCCCCGCGTCACCCCTCGCAGCGTCCCCCGCGGCGCACCTGGGACAACACGCCCCCCGCCCCCCGCCGGGGCACGGATGCGCGCGGGCCGGTCTCGGGTCCGAGCCGCCGGGGACCCTGAGGACCCGGCGCCCACAGCGCGTCACGGGCAGGGCCGGCGCCGGGAACTTTTCCACCCCGCGACCTCCGGAGGCCGGCACAGCCGTCCCGCCGGCCGCCTCTCTACACCCGCTGCGATGAGTGCTCCCCAAAACGAAACCGCCACTGCCTGGAGCCGAGAGGAGCCCCCACGGCCGCTGGCAGGGACGAGGGAAGCCCGGCTTCCGTGGGGCGCCTCTCCCGCGCGCCCAGCCCGCCCTGAGGGCCGGGGCCCGACGCCCCCGCGGCGGCCTCCCGCGAGCCCCTTACCTCCCACCCGGGCGCTCGAGAGCGGTCGGTGCGCAGGGCGCAGGCGCGGGCACAAGAGGGCGGGGCGTCGCGTCCGGCTGGCCGGCTAGGCCACGCCCCCTCCGCCGGGGCCCATCCCTGGGGGGCGTGGCCAGCGCGCAGGTGGGAACACAGGGTGGGCGAATTTTTTTTTCAAAAGTGGCCTTGATTTCTGCCACGGGGGAGTCATGCTGGAACCAGAAAGGGAAGAGACACATCAATGCTTTTAAGTCAGTTTGTTGTGTGTTAAGTAGGAGACAGTTCACATTTGTGTAACCTTCTGCATATTGCAAAAATGTTCTGTTCCTTTTCCTCTGTTTTTCTAGGAATTTTACTTGCGCTGGCTTTGTGTTCTTAGAAACTGACGTTCAGAAAGGTTGTACCTTCTCCCTCTCGCCCCCACTCTTGCCCCCCCCCACACACAAAAAACAAAACACATACACACACACACACACACACACACACACACACAACAACTGTGAGGTGAAGAGGGGTACAAGACTTCGTTGTAACAAGCGCAAAAATTGAAGCTCAGATAAGCTGTGATCTTCCCCCAAAACTGATGGAGACCTTAATGCCACTGTCCTTGTTTCAGTTTTATAGCTAGTGACACTGAAGCTCAACACAAAGCGTTAAGTGACTCACTCCAGTTCACCCAGTTAATGACAGTGTGAACTTCAACTGGGTTTGCTAATTTCCTTCCCACGTTCTTCCTGCTGTACCAGCTGCCATCAATGAACACGCAGGTGGCTGGCTTTGAAGCCATGTCCAGGTTATAGGTGATGGCCTAACTTCCACACCCAGCCTGTTTTTATATGTGTGTTTGTGAATATTAAGATGACTTGCTTAGTTAGAATCTAGTCACTAATGACATTGTCCTCACAAGTCACAAAGGGAACTCAGTTCTTAGCGTCCTCCAGTGGAATGGGTGTAGAGGTAGAAATTGAAGGTCAAGGAACATTAAGAAAACCTTGAAAGGCAATTTCTAAAATAAGTTAAAAAGTAAGCGAAGAACTTGAAAATTGTTACTCTGTTCTTTTTAAAAAATATATATATATATTATTGATTTTTTACAGAAAGGCAGGGAGAAGTATAAAAAGTTAGAAACATCGATGAGAGAGAAACATCAATCAGCCGCCTCCTGCTCACCCCCCAACCCCCACTGGGGATGTGCCCGCAACCAAGGCACGTGCCCTTGACCGGAATTGAACCCAAGACCCTTCAGCCCACAGGCCAATGCTCTATCCACTGATCCAAACCGGTTTCTGCTGTCATCATATTCTTATTTAAAAAAAAAAAAAAAAAAAAAAGGAGCTGAACAAACTGAAAACCTATTACTTTTCTTGGAGTCATAAGAGAATTGAGATTGCAGGGCAAACTTCCTCCAAGAATCGGGAGAGACAGGCAAATACAGAGAATTATAGCCACGATCAGCTTCCCCGAAACAGAAGCCCCTGGAGCCTTAAGCTGGTAAGGACATTTAAACAGTAACTTTGACAAGATATCAGAGGTTGAGTGTGGACTAGTGTGTGAGTGAGAAACTCCTGGAGCTGTAGTCTTAGGGGGACATGTCCATGGCTTTTCCTCCGGGAACCTCACCAGATTCTCAAGGTGAAGAGACAATGAAAAAAAAAACCTTCATGTTTCTGGCAGAGGAGAAGAAAAGAAACCATTTCTTAAATATACCCAGTTTTCTTCCGCAAGAAAGGCCTACTCAAAGGGAGGAAAAGACTTAGCCAGATATTTAGCTGGGGGGGGGGGGGGGGGGGGGGGGGGGGGAAGAGGAAGTCATTATCCAACTCCAGCCCCTCCTAGTCTTCCTGTTTCTCCCAATAGGGGGGAAAGATTAGAAATACTTGTGAAGGTCACAGCCCAAGGACACAGGCCCACTAAAGACTGAAACAAGATTATAGATACTGCCCCTCACCATTCACCTTACCACCACATCCACAGGGCTCCAGTAAAATAATTGGGTTACAGTTGAAAGATCTGCATTGTGCAGTCTCTACTAGTATATAAGAAGTTTTTTAGGAAAATCCAAAGAAGGAAATTGAAGCCTCTGATATCTACTTGTATGGCAAACATTAAACACAGATCCTAAACAGATTAACATAAAACCTGACCTTAAAAGCCAATTCACCTCACTTCCCATATACATTATAAATGGATTTTAACCAAAAATTACAAGGCTTATTGTTACTGTTGTAAGTAGCTAGAGTAGTTATTAATAACTAGAGGCCTGGTGCACAAAATTCATGTATTCAGGAGGTCGCTCAGCCCTCTTGCAAACCAGGAGCCCTCAGGGGATGTCCATGAGGAGTGGGCCTAAGCTGTCAGTCAGACATCCTTAGCCCTGCCACAGACACAGACTGCACTTACCAGCCGTGAGCCTGGCTCAGAAATTCTGTCTGAGTGGCGCTCCCCCCATGAATGCACTGACCACCAGGGGGCAGCTCCTGCATCTAGTGTCTGCCCCCTGGTGGTCAGTGCACATCATACCCTGTTTCCCCGAAAATAAGACAGTGTCTTATATTAATTTTTTCTCCCAAAGTTGCGCTAGGTCTTATTTTCAGGGAAACACAGTAGTGACTGGTGGTTCTGCCATTTGGTCAATTTGCATATTAGCCTTTTATTTTATAAGGAGCAAAGGGAAGGCCAGACTTTATAAGCATGACCATCTAGGGAGCTTCACCAGGAAGCTGCAATTTCACAATCCCCAGGGAACCACTGGTCCATTTCCTGCAGATCACTGGAGGAAGAGATCCAACAAAGGGAAGACTGATACGAGCTCAGTAAAGTTGAGATAAAGTAGGGAAAGTGCTTGTCAGTCTAAACTGGAACAAAGATAATTGGCTAGAGAGGGTGGAGCCACTGCAAGCTCATGAAATCTTAGAAGGTTAAAATCCCCAAAGGGATTCTCTCTCTTTTGTTCCTCTGGCTTTGCTCCTGCTTCCTTGCCCTCACCCATGTTACCTCCATAGCTATGTGGCCCTAGAATCTGCATGGCCCATGGCCATGTGGACCCCACACTTACCGGGCTGCAGCTGGGAACACAAGTGAAGCTAGCCTGAGACTGGACTGGACTGTGCAAATATGGAATGGGCAACACCTTTACTCCTAGCCCCACTGATAACACAGCTGGACTTCTTCCATGGCAGAATGGAGGGAGAGAGAACCTTGGGAACTCAGAAATTTAATTCCACACAAATAAATATCACTCATTTTCCTATGCAAGTCACAGAAAATTCCTTTTCTTGTGACACTGCAAGAAGGTCACTTCCACTGGCCACAGGTGGGGACATGGAGAGCTCCTCACTGATAACACTGTTAACAGGCAAGTAAAAGTGTAGTCTAAAGAAACAAAGCAAGGCCCTAGATGGTTTGGCTCAGTGGATAGAGCATTGGTCTGTAGACTGAAAGGTCCCCAGTTTGATTCCGGTCAAGGGCACATGTCCAGGTTATGGGCTTGATCCCCAGTAAAGGGTGTGCAGGAGGCATGCCGAAACCGGTTTGGCTCAGCAGTAGAGCGTCGGTCTGCGGACTGAAGGGTCCCAGGTTTGATTCCGGTCAAGGGCATGTACATTGGTTGCAAGCACATCCCCGGTGGGGGGTGTGCAGGAGGCAGCTGGTCGATGTTTCTAGCTCTCTATCTCTCTCCCTTCCTCTCTGTAAAAAATCAATTATATATATATATATATATATATATATATATATATATATATATATAAAAGGGGGGAGTGAGGAGGCAGCTGATCAATGCTTCTCTATCATCACTGATGTTTCTATCTTCCTCTCTGAAATCAATATATATATATACATACGTATGTTACATATATATACATCTGTATGTATATATATACATCTGTATATATATATAACACACACACACACACACATATATATATAAACATAGCAAGGATCAGATTCGGCTATGGCATAGCTTTTGTAATTATCAGACAGGGAATTTTAAATAACTATGATTTATATGGCAAGGGGTCTAATGGAAAAAGTGAACAACATGCAGAGCAAGTGGCTAATGTAAGCAGAGAGGTGGAAACTCTAAGAAAGAAGGGAGCAGGGGGACATTTTTAATACTTTTAACAATAAAGATAAATTTTTTAGAAAAGAAAAAAGAAAGCGTCGAAAGGAAATATTAGGAATGAAAAACACAGTAATGGAAATGAAGAAAGCTTTTGATGGACTTGTCAGTAGACTAGATATGGTCCCAAGGAAAGAATCAGTGAGTCTGAGATACATCAATAGAAAATTCCCAAATTGAGATGCAAAGAAAACACACACAGAATGTAAAAAGTGAGATAATTTCAAAAGATGTAATATATATGTAGTTGAAATGCCAGAAGGAGAGGAGAAAAAAAATGGAACACAAGAAATATTTTAAGCAATAAGGCCTGAGAATTTTCCAAAATTAATGACAGACTCCAAACCACAGATGCAGGAAGCTCATAGGAAACCAAGCACGATAAATGCTCCAAATCTACAACTATATATATTGTTCTCAAACTCAAAAAATAATTAGGAAATCTTGAAAGAAGCCAGAGGGAAAAATGCCTTACCTATAGAGGAACAATAAAAATTACATCAAGGCGAAACCGGTTTGGCTCAGTGGATAGAGAGCTGGCCTGTGGACTGAAGGATCTTGGATTTCATTCCTGTCAAGGGCATGTACCTTGATTGTAGGCACATCCCCAGTAGGGGATGTGCAAGAGGCAGCTGATCGATGTTTCTAACTCTCTATCCCTCTTCCTTCCTCTCTATAAAAAATCAATAAAATATATATATTTAAAAAATTACATCAAAATTCTCATCAGAGACCATGCAAGCAAGAAGAGACATATTTAAAGTGTTGGGAAAAACAACAAAATACAAACCTGAAATTTGTTATCTAGCAAAATTTTCCTTTAAAAGTCAAGGAACAATACTTTAAATAATAGACAAAAAAGTCAAGGAACAATAAAGAAAAAAAAAAGGCAATTTATATTCAGCCCACCTGCTCAATAAGAAATGTTAAAATTAGTTTTTCAGAGAGATGAAAAATAATATAGATCATAAATTTGGATCTACATAAAGTAAGAGCCCA